TGACTTAAGGCCAGTGAAAGGTGCAACCATGTTAGCTTGAGCAACATTGCTGCGAGTGGCAACTGCTGCAGAGGAAAGAACTGAGGAAGCCATTGCTAATTACACTTAAGACAGAAAGATTTCTCTTTCTCCCTTTTCCTTTTTTTTCCCTTTAAACTTCCAATATGGTCATTGCATAGTTGCCCACCACTCTATATATAATGATAAGGTTTCACATATTTCCCATATCTAACGGACAAAAATCAACAACTCTCTCATCTTGGAATAAAGCTAACCATTGGATTATGTGGTTCTTGATACATTATACAAATCTTAATATCCACACATGAAAGGTTGGAAAATTATTTTTGGAGCTAAGCCATTCTTCATTTAATTCACCACAATGGAGGTGCCACGTGTAAGCACCTCAGTAATCTTATCTCATCCTAAATGGGGTAGGAAGAGGATATGAATGTGTGATTGAGGTTGGTTAATTTTTTTAGAGTCCCTTTTGCTTGGAGTTTAGCCGTATTGTTTATGTAGTATGTTTTATTTTTCGTTTTCCCATATATTCGGTGGTTTAGAATACAAATATTATATATCCGTAATTATTTTTAGTTTAAGCAATTAGATGGACGGCTAGTTTGGTTTATCTTCCTCATTTTAATCGATAATCAAACTCTTTTCTCTTTCGCAATCAATATTTTTTTATTATTACTTGATCTCTTTGCTCCAATAATCTATGTGACATTTTTTTTTTAATTTGTTTCAAAAGAATGACAAGACACAAGTTCTAGCCGCCTCTTTCTGGTTAAGATTAGTTTGACATAAGATCTAATGAATGATTAATTCCAAAAAATTGGTGGTACTAAATATGCCTTAATGTTACATCACATCAATACAAACTTAGAAAGTCACCTTTCATTAAATGAAAACCTATTTAAACTGCTGATAGTTAGTTACACGAACAGATCATTTGCTGAACAAAGTCAAATTACAATCCTGTGTAAATAAAATTATGTGTCACGTCTACTGAATAGAGCTTTGGTGATGAAATGTGAAACTAGTCCAATAGGGCAAGACATCAAGCACAATGACACAGAATGGCGGGTTTCAATATCATTCTCCAATCCATCATGATAAATCTGCCTGTTTCAAATTAAAAAATTAAATACTGGGAGTAATAATTAAGGGCTTTAATAGGACATCATTATTTCTTCCTTGTCCGAGAAAAAAACAATGAGGATTTAACACTGACGGGGCAGAATTTATACATTAACAGTGTTATGTGACACGTTGTAATAGATTGCGGTCTTGTTTCCTAGGTAACTAATTTCACTTAAACATGATAGTTGCTTGTAATTATTTTTTTAAATGATCTGACAGTGTTACTCCCTCCGTTTCAAAAAGATTGTCTTAGTTTGACTTGATACAAACTTTATTAAAGAAAGGAAGACTTTTGAGATATGTGGTCTTAAATAAGTCATAGCATTTATGTGGCTGTACACTTTTGAAACTTGTGATCTGAATCTGTCGTCGTAGCATTTTTTCTGGCTATAAATGCTTCTTATTAAGGAAATATTGAAATGTGTCAATCTATTTTAAACAGACTAATAAGGAAATAGTGACAATCTTTTTTAAACGGAGAGTAATATTTTTGTTATTGTTAATATATTGACACAAATACACACACAGTTGTGTGACAAAAAAGAGAGAACAACCTAGCAGCAAAAAGGTCTACAGCCAAGAGGTGAATCCATGCAGAAGCTAAAGTCATCACCCTGGAGAACATTTCAGCAATACCATCCAGCTGAATGAGAACACAATGTTAGGATCACTTCATATAAATTATTACTTCATATATTCCATTTAATTTGATTAGGTATGAAATTTAAGAAAAGATAAAGATTTTCTAACATACCAAAAGTATTTTTACAACTCATTATTTTAAATGTGCAATACCAATATTCATATCGCTATAATATAAGGGGTCGTTTGGTAGGGGAATAAGTAGGATTATAAACGGCGATTAAAATAGCGATAGGATTATTTGGCGGATATATTTTTATTGACAGATATTTGATGCATTGGACTAAAAATGGAACATACGGGGTATAATTAACAACACATATTTGGTGTATACTAGATAGGTTGGGATAAACTTTTATTTTCAATTTTAACCTTGACTTTTGTAAAGGACTTTAGAAGAAGAGTCTTGAAAAGGGGTATTTTTGTCATTGTAATATTCTATCCTGTGATTAAATAATCCCAGGATTATTACCACCCTCGTAGAATAATACCACAATATGGTATAAATTAATCCGGGTCTGATCCCGAATTCGAAAATTCAACCAAACTTGAGATAAAATAATCCTATATCTAATCTCGAGATTATTGTCCCTCCCACCTACCAAACGACTCCTAAGAGCATATTACTAAGGATAAAATAGGTAGTTGAAAGTTAAATATTTCAAGAGACAGAAAGGCGTCTTGTTATCGAAAAGAACAAAAAAAAAAAGGAGTATTATATAAAATGGAAAAGATGGAGTGTGTAGTTGAGCAAATACCTCTGGAAGCAAATATTTATTAGGAAATAATAGCTGCATTGTATCTGGTGTCCATGAGAGGTACACGAGATATACATAAAGAAGTCCAAGCACAATATAAGGTATGCTGCTCTCCATCACTTTTTGGGTCTGCAATTCGAAGTGAAGCAATGAGTTTCTTCTACTGAACAATTATTTGCAATCAATAAGTCACTCAATTTTGCCTAAATATATAAAAAAAACTGCTCCTTTATTTTCTCTTACTAACTTTCTTTGATATTTAATCTAAGTTGACCGATTTTTTCGTTAAAAAATAGTGTAATGTTTTTTTTATACTTAAACAAAGTTGAGTGACTCTTTCGCTACAAAACTAATATAATAACTTTGTTACAATAAAGTGAAAATTGAGCGGCCACCCCATGAAATTAACCCATCAATGCATAGATTGAAATCCTACAGTGACCAAATAACATGAGAAAAGCATATAAAGATGGTGAGAGAAGTTGTGGCCTAATAATTTACTTTTATTCATGATATTTATGACATAAACCGGCTAAGTTGCTCCAACACGGCAGTTTAGGTGTCGCACCCATGTCGACACGATACTAGTATGGGTGTGAGTATAGATATGGTCAAATAATTTTGGGTACTTTGACCACGACTAACGGCAAAATTCGAGACGAGATGCAATTTGATTCCCGAAATCAGAACCAAAACTAGGGTAAATTTGAAGAAAATAGCATACCTTATCTAGGAAATCAATCATTTACTTATCTATAACTTGAGAATAAAAAAAGAAGTAACACTTTACAAGCTATATGTAAGTATTCCACAAAATTTATCATATTTTAGAGATTTTTTTTTAAAATTTTTTGAATTATTTTTAGCCGGATCCCTGCACCCGTATCCGTACTAGGATCCATATCTCTGAATCTTAGAATTTATATCTCGAAGGATCCAACCTCTAGATTTGCACCCGTATCGGACTCTCACACCCGTGTCCGAGCAACTTAGGAAACTGGTTATAGTAAAACAGATAAATTTAGGTGGACAATAATTCAGAAAACTTACAAGTGCAGCTTTAGGTGCCACAACCATGAAGAAATAAAAGGGAAGAACTGCTAATGTTCCCAATGGGAATATACTAGTAGCAATTTGAGAACTTTCCAACCCTGCAAAAAGACAGAGCATAAATACTTAACTAATTTTTTAATACCACGCATTTAAAACTATTTAAACCGATGGATAATGGAGGAAAATAATTAATTACATGAGGCAGACACCCTGAATATATTTCTTTGCAGAAGTGTTCTTGGACGATTTGGACGAATAACGATTCTTGATCCTCCCAGAAAACTCCAATCAGTGCGTAACTTGGTTCGCGATCCCCCAACTTGTTGACTTGAAAGATCAGAGTTAATAATTGGTGCAAGAGCAAAAGATGCAGCATTGTTCCTCTGCAGCTAGACCATAGAATCATTCTTGATTTTAATTATTGGCAAAATGGTTCAAACAAACAATTATTCACTCATATTATCAATTAAAAAATGGGTTGGATAATGAACTTTTTAAAAACGGGTCGAATATGGATAAGAACCATATTATTCACTTAGAAAATAGATAACTAAATAGATAACCAATGGATAAATAACGAGTTTAATTTTAACATTTGTAAAGCCTCAAATTGGAGGTTCCTTAAGTTTGGGAGAGTAGGAATTCTCCCAAAACTGATCTTATTCAAGAAGTCATGGATAATATGGATATTCATATTATCCGATGGGTAACCCGTTTTTTTTTCGTATTAAATATGTATCGGGTCGAATAATTTATCCATTTTTTTAAATTACTCGTTTACAACCCGCTCATATCCGAACCGACCCGCACATTGCCTTCCCTATTCACAAGTGGTTAAAAAAAAGAGGGAAATCTGTCCAAAAAGCAGTAGAAGTTCAAGCTTAAATGGGCAAAGGAAGGTGAAGTGAGTTCAAACTCTTAGTGGTGCCTCCATTGGCCAAAACTCGGGGTGGTAATTTAAGCCCAAACTCATTAAACTCGTCCAACCTTCCAAGGATGAGCCGCACATTAGCTCGTTCATTGTTGAACTCAGCCCATCCTGACTCATCTTATTTCAATCCATCTAAAATTGGGTAAATTTTAGCCTAAATTGATCCATGAAAAAATCTTTAAAATAATTCTTTTTTGTTTGATATGTTATATATGACCATAACGAAAGAACAAAGAATCTTATTGATAATTAAATATTTCAGAAGAAAATAACACGCATTAACTAAAGCTTGGTAAGAGTTGGGCAGATTGGGCTATGACCCAAATTTTAGCCGATCTTGACCCAGCCCAAGTAACTTTTAGGTGGGTCATTGAGCCGCTCACTGAACCCATTTTGCCCCGTCCAAAATCAGTCTAACCCACCCATTTGACACCCCTAAACATCTTGAAATTGTCCTGATAGAATAATAGCCTATTTAGCTAAGCTGCAAAATCAGCTTATTTGAGAAGTGTTTTTTTTCCTCAAAAGTAACTTTGATGAGAAACAGTTTGTATTTTGGCTAATTAATTTGAAAAGCACTTCTGAGTAGCAATTAGTGTTTGGCCAAACTTTTAAAAACTACTTCTAAGTGTATTTTTCTCAAAAGTGCTTTTCAAAAATGTGCTTTTGTAGATAAGCTGCTTTTTTCTGCTTCTCCAAAATTGTTTCTGCTTCTCCTCAAAAGCATTGTTTTTCTTCCAAAAGCTTGGCCAAACACCTCAAAAGACAGAAGCATAAGCTTGGCCAAACACCTCAAAGTGCTTTTGGAGATAAGCTTTTTTTCTTCCAAAAGCTTGGAAAAAAAAGTGTTTCTAGAATTGAAGAAACTTAGCCAAACAGACTATAATTCCAGTGAGCCTGGAAGTCTTCGCTAACATTTTTCCTATTTGGTTTAAAATATATATATTCGCTTAAAAATATATTTTTTAATTAAAAATGCATAATTGTTGATATGGAATACACATGCATTGCAAGTATTTTGAAACTAATAAAAATGAGTCATCAAAGCTGCAACTATAGATCTATTTTAAACTGAACTAGTAAATGATATATCTCATAATAGAAATACTAGACAAAATTAAAATATCCAATTAGATCAAGTTGTTGAAGCTTAAAAATCCCAACGGACATTCTGCAATATAAACACCAATTTACTCACAAAAATTATCACCAAAAGTTGTGGTGGGATGAATAGGATACCTTAACCTTAACTAAAGGTCTCAAGTTCGAGGTCAAAGAATGAAAAACATCCTGTAGGGAGCGTGTTTTCCTTAAATTGGTATTAATCAGGGTCCAAAGCGGGGATTAGATATTACTTAGCAAAAGATAGCTCATAGAATAAGATATAAAATTAGAAGCAGCATACCTTGTATGAGATCAAACTGTGGCAAAAACAACAAGAAGAGAAGGCCATGCTTGAATGGGAGGAAATACTCATCCAAGAATTTGAAGAAAGTCAACAACAAGAATTACTATAAAGTAGCATTCTCATCTGCTATAGATATATAAAGAGTGCACGGAACTGTAATTGAAAGTTGTTACAAAGAAAGCAAGCAAACTTTCAAATCAACGCATAACATTATGTATTTATACCAAATTAATGAATACTAAATACCTAATGTGTGGTATTTATACACACTTCTATCACTTAGCCATGGTTATTTATATGCATTCTAACGTCAATTTATTATTTTGACTATACTTTAATGTGATTTGGTGTAAGTAAATTTTTTTTTTTAGAAATGAATAGAGATCATCAGTTACGGCTAATACTACACTACAGCTCTGCCCTCATAGTGCAAATGCCTAACTTATATCTTCTAATGAAATTTCCATAGCCGGACTACACTTTGCCCGAACTACCTGGCTTAGTGAAAGTGCGTAACTAAAATAATGATATAATTGTTATGAAACAATAAAGAAGAAGAATAGTATTGTAGAGAAAAGTAGGGAGAGAGAATTTTTATTAATATTTGGGATGAATTACAATAGAATAGAACCCTCTATTTATAGGGAGAGGGTGACTTAGCCACCAAGCAATGAACCCTAGAATCTCTCTAAATATAGACATTCACCATAAATAGAACTCTATTTATAACACTCCCCCTTGAATGTCTATTCAACAGATAATGTGCCTCGTTAAAACCTTAACTAAAATAAAACCCAGTGGGAAAAAAATTTTAGTAAAGGAAAATGAGTACACTTATCTAACAATACGCCTTTTGGTTGCCTCGTTAAAAATCTTGCAAGGAAAACCCAGTGGGACAAAACCTTGTAAGGGAAAAAGAGTACAACGCGTATTAACTCCCCCTGATGAGAGCATCAATTCACATCCTTGAGCATTTGCATTCCAATCTTGTGCACCATCTTCAAAAGATCTTTGGTAGAGATTTGATGAACAAATCAGGCATATTAACTTGAATGAATATATTGCACCTTGAAATCATCATTCTTGATAGAGATGAATTGTCTTCACATGATCTTGTTGGAATCGTCAGTTCAATATCTTCACATAGAGGTGAAAACTCTTGCTATCATATTATCATGCATATAATTATAGCAAGATACATTTGTGCACAAATTGCACTGAGAATGTAGTACTTCATGACCATGAATTTTATATGCTTTAAGCAATTTAAATCCTTCAGGGATTGTTAAGTCATATAAGCCATATAATAGACTTTAGGTGCATATCAAGTTTTCATGTTATGCTAGACATATAAGATATCGAAAACTGATTGTACATACCATTGACTTTATACTTTCAAGTGTTTGAACTGAAGGTTCAAAACTATATGTCTTTCGTATGAAACAAATTCTATTCGAATTGTGTCTCTTTTATTTGGCCAGTATTTTTGTGTCTATATTCGACAGACTTAAGATCCTCATCTATACTTAGCGCTAACATAGATGTCGTCGACAAACATTTTATATCAGTTCCAGCTTTATTTTCATAAAGACATAACATAGAGATCTCTTCATTCATATTTTCAGGTACCCGAATCTCTCCTGAGATTTTATGAAGTGTTATGTCATGTGATCTTCTAGATCACTTTCCTCCTTTATTATGATCATTTTGATTATTTGATCATCTTATTTATCAAGAAGTTTATTTGAAACCGATTTGTCTATACGCTTTAGGCGTACCATAGACGTTGTCCTTCTAGGACTTAATAAGAGCATTTGCAATGAGAATATAGTTACTTTCTTTGGGCCAGCAAATGCGTCTGGCATGCTTTGCAATATATTGCAAATGAATTATCTTTTTATGAACTTCAAGTTCATATTATCTTATTCGAGGATCTAGATGTACAAATGATAATTCATTCCACGTAACTTTTTCTCAACTGTTTATCATGTCTCCCTCTCATGTTAGAAAAACTAACTTATTTCCTCAACTTTAAGAACTCATCTTTGTGCATTATGGTGTTAATTAAAATATACATCGCACATCAATAATAATAAGATGGAATTATTTGGTTCCTGACCATGAACCACTTGTAAGGGAAGAAAATAATATACTTTCGTATATAATGTGTATCAAACTGATATAGATAACTTTGTTCTCATAAGCAATAGTTTAGCTATTAAGTGGAGGCACTCAATAAATTATTTTGCAAAACCAACTGTGATATAAACCAACTTATCAAGATAAACTTCTTGAATAGAAAATCTGAAAATTATGCTCTAAATCAAATTATTGAGCAAGTTACCTCGCAAACACCATGTTGTGGGTTAATAATAATCGCACATGCAACCATCTCACAGATGCATCTTATGTGGTATACATGGCAGGTGAATGGGCTCATATTCACCTTTGATATTTCCAGCATTCATGGGATTCAATCCCAATTTTAGTTGGTATATTAATTAATGAGAACAAGCAACGTAAGAGAATCCGTAAAGAACTTTCTAGTTCTTTAATATTTACCCATATGAACTCTCTTTTATTTTTGCACATCATACTTAAATTGATATGGCTAAACCAATTATGCCAACTGAATAAATTATCAATATTGATAAACTTATGATTTACGCCATGACGTGTGCATTATCAATAAACTCCAAGTTTATTATGATATGGGTTTTTATATCAATAAATACCCACTTCATTGTGGTATTCTTTTGTTTATGTAGTACAAATTGGAGAATAAAGCGGGTAGCTTTTCACATACATTACCCCGCTACAAGTTGTAGTAATAGAAAATATTAAATCTTTCCTTTATTTATAGTCTCAGTATAACCAATCGCTTTCGCGAATACTTTAGAAACTCAAAAAATTTCTTTGAGACTTACTACAACATAATGCCTTATTGGTAATCAATTGTGTTTCTCTAAAATAGTATAATTGGCTCTTGCAGAGATCTCAATTAATTTTGTACTATCACAAATTCATCAACTTCCATATGGTCATATATCTCTTTCAAGGAGAAAGTTATAATTTCTTGCATTATTGTTGTCTAAAATGTTTCTTGCATTATTGTTGTCTTTTAACAATCACAATGCCAAAATATTTTGGCGTACAATAGGTACGTGACCAATGACCATTCATGCCATAATAATGACATTATTTTCTTATATCATCTCAAACCTCCTTCTAGAGGTGAGTGTGGTATATTCACTACCACTAGCACGTTCATATTCTTCCAAGAATGAATATGTATTCATAAATAAGATGATGTCATATTCACATCATGAATGGACCATAATCATCTATAAGTGCTTTATAAAATCTCATGTCAAATCGTTGACATATATTACTTTCACAGAGTGAAGGATTATTTTGAGAATCCTTATTATTCTCATTATCACAATGATGACGATTATAATTTCGTCTATTGCCATGTCCACATCCATTGATACCTTCACGGTAATAATTTTGTCTTCTTTCAGACTTATTGCATATTGCTATCACATTCTCTTAAGGGGAATGAGAATGAAGCAAATTCAATGGGACGGGTTTCCACTTCTTTGCCCACAATCATACATGAATTTGATCATGGCAAGGCATAAAAATTTTACGACTTTGGGTGGTTATAATTTCTTACAAACTCCACCAGAGTTACAATCAAAATTTATTGTCTTTGCTTGTATTTAAAATCAAATTATAGAATGTCAAGAATTTAAACGAGAAAAGTAAAGTAAAATACTTACCTTAAATCCAGAATTTAATCATGAAGGAGTTCATGGAACAATTGACAATCATTATGCTCAATCCCAAAGCTTCTACTCAATTGGTTAGAGTCTCGTGCTGATAACGTGTTATGAAACAATAAAAGAAGAAGAATAGTATTGTAGAGAAAAGTAGGGAGAGAGAATTCTTATTAATATTTGGGATGAATTACAATAGAATAGAACCCTCTATTTATAGGGAGAGGGTGACTTAGCCACCAAGCAATGAACCCTAGAATCTCTCTAAATATAGACATTCACCATAAATAGAACTCTATTTATAACAATAATGAAATTTTACCAATTCTAACCACACAGCCTTATTTGACGGAAAGTGTTTCACAGCACTGTTCTCATTGGTTTATTACTCCTAGCTATAGACCTGTGGTATGTTGGACTTTTCTAATTTTATTTAAGTTCCATTATTGTATAAGGTGTCACCGGGGCGTTTTCTATCCGCCGAAAACACTGCCCGCTATGCGGCAGTCAAGTCCCCATTTGGCTTCAGCCTTCGCCCAATTTTCTTTCGCTTTCGAGGTTTAACACTTAGAATAAATTCAAGGCAGCATAAATAAATAAAGGCACAAGCAGATTACGGGAACCCTTTCCCAACCTTTTATAATATATGAAATTATAAAGGAAATTCTCGAGTTTGGCAAGGTGCTGCCACCCTTTGCAGGCACCAACTCACAAAAATAGCCGACACTTGCACGATTCTGCCCTATAAAAGCCCCTACCTAAGGCGTCTCGTGATGCCCACTCGTTTGGCAAGGCAATGGCACATATTTTGCCATGCTCAAGCCTTGACATAGACAACCTTATGCCTATATCTTAGACTATTTCCCTCCCTAGGTACTTAGCCCGTTTTTGGGGCTGCTAACACACATATATATAGTATAGTCAGCCCAAAACTGTTTCCTATTTTCAGTTGACATCCCTCAACTGATAGGACATGATCCCCATGATCAAAACGTGCATGTCATGCCTAGAACATGCCTAAAAACGTGCATTGGCTTAGCCTTATAATCAGCAACTCTTGGACAAAGGCAGTTGTAACCGCCCAACTGCATGGCATGTGCACAGCACACTTGAAAACCACTCCATGTGCGCTGCATGTGCGCGTTCCTGGCCAGCCTTGGCCTTTGACACTGCTCCCGCTCAATGCCATCGCCACAGCTCGTCGCCCATGACTTAGCCGCACGCCCGCCCGCTGCCACAGTTGCTTGTTCTTGTCAAGTCCCCCCTACTTGATCAAGTCTGCCCTTTGCCAATGCCAAGCTGATTTTGGCATCAAGTCACCAAGCCATGATGCCATTCCCTTTGCTAAGTCGTTTGCCCACAAGTTCCTTAGGTGCCAACCCGCTCACCTAAGTCATGGAAACAACATATTGC